TTTTTTTTTTTTTTTTTTTTTTTTTTTTTTTTCTGGAAACAGACTCTTTTCCTTCTTTCCGGAGATCTGAATATTCATTTTTTTTTTGGAAAATGTGACCAAAACTGATTATTGGCTTATTCCAGCTTCTTACACAGACATCAGTAAATGCACAGATTCCCAGCTGGCAGCCCAGGAGTCTGAGTTCATGTACAAAGCTCCATGGAGGAGATCTTTGCTCTGAGTTTTCTGTACAGTTCGGCTAAACCAAGCAAGGTCATATTGGGGATTCCTGTTGTTCTAGTTCTGTAAAGGAAGAATAAGCCTGATCCGACGATCAGGAGCAGGTATATCTCACTCACACAGCCCAAACCAGACTAAGAGCTGGCTTTTGTGTTTTGGGAAGGTTTGGAGGTGCCGGCGGTAGTCTCGATGCATGGCAGTTCTCCTCTGTCCATGGTGCTGGGGTAGACCATGCACACGCACGCCGAGAAAACGTCGTTATTTCTGAGATTTGTTGCTGTCTAACAAATACGCTATTAAATTGCATTACTTCCAGGTCCATATTCATAAAGTATTGTGGACATAATATATTGTTGAATGCCATCAGAAAGGAGATCCATGGGACACTGTTCATACTATACTTCTTGTAGCAGAAGTCACGTATCTCAGGTAAATCACATAACAGATCCCTGTGAGTCCATCCATCTAGCTGGATTTTTCAGCAAATTGAGGAAAGGTTGTGTTCACAACCCCTCTGTTCAATTTCTAAGGTAAAAGCCTTCCCCAAGAGCCTTTATGAGATCACCATTAGACATAGTTCTATAGATTATATCACTTCTTTTTGACCATGTCCTTTCTTGCTTCTGTACCTGAACCCTCTGTGATGAGGAGGGTACTGGTGGGATTTTTTCTGACTGAGAAGTCAGGGTACCACCTGGATAGGAGGTACCCAAATCAGGCTCACAAACATTCAGGTTTTCATCTTGAAACTGCTTTCTATGGGAGTTGCTTGGAAGCTGGCACTTGGGGTAGGGAAGCAATGCTGAAGCTGGGACTAGGAGTATCTCAGTGTGGTTTGTGTTTTGGTGATCCTGTGCCTTGTTCTTCTGAAGAAGAGGGAGCATTGAAGTAGCTGGTGTTGGGATCATGTTTCACTGCCTCATGTTTCTTGATTTTCTGTGGCAGCTGAATAGTCTGGAAAAAGCGGGAGTACTTAGGGGTCAGAACCATGGGTACTTGAACTTTGGAGGGTCTGCTGGTTCTGGGGACAGACCAGCAGTTCTAAAGAGGTCAACAAGAAACTCAGGGACCTCTCAGTGTCTTCTGCTTGATATGCATATTATTTTCCCTTGCTTGTGAAAGCCCCTGTGGATGACATCCCTTTATTCTCTGCACACAAGGGAGGACATTTATCTTTGCAAGGATTGTAAGAAGCCTATGGACAGGAAGGATGACATTTCTCAGCAAGCCTTCTTGGCTGTGATGACTTTTGGCTGCTACAGGAGTTCTTTGATGTAGCATGCACCAGGATCCCCAAAGAAGAAGAAAATAAACCTGGTTTTAGGCCGGTGTTTTAGCTATTAGGCAACACTTGTGTTTGAGGGCTTTTGAATTTTTCCTTCCCATACTCCAAGATATAAGAGCAAAGTGTGCACCTGGAGGTTTAGTAGTGTGGGCACACTGTCCCCCTCTCCAAGAGCAATCACATGATGCTTCACAAGAATGTGCGGTGTTGTATGACGGACCCAAAATATAAACCCTGCTCAAAACTATATGGGCATTTGGGGAGGCAACACAGACCTGGAAATACTCTGTGAATTGTTAATATTGTGCGCAGAAACATGTGCACACCATTCCAGCAGGCTTCTAGGTTCATTTCTTGGGCATGGGCATCTACGCTGAGCCCCTGCTACAATATGTATGGAAAAGAGAGCATCAAAAAGGTATCAACATAGAATCATAGAATCATAGAATCGTCTAGGTTGGAAGAGACCCTTGGGATCATCAAGTCCAATCATCTACCCTACTCTACAAAATCCTCCCCTACACCATATCCCTAAGTACTGCATCTAAATGTCCCTTAAACACATCCAGGGATGGCGACTTAACCACCTCCCTGGGCAGCCTGTTCCAATGCCCGACCACTCTCTCTGTGAAAAATTCCTTCCTAATGTTCAGTCTAAACCTACCCTGTTGGAGCTTGAAGCCATTCCCTCTCATTCTGTCATTAATAACATGGGAGAAGAGACCAGTACCAACCTCTCTACAGTGTCCTTTCAAGTAGTTGTAGAGAGTGATGAGGTCTTCCCTCAGCCTCCTCTTCCTCAAACTAAACAGTCCCAGCTCCTTCAGCAGCTCCTCATATGATTTGTTTTCCAGGCCCTTCCCCAGCTTCGTTGCCCTCCTCTGCACTCACTCCAGCACCTCGATATCTCTCTTGTATTGAGGTGCCGAACACTGGACACAATAGTCAAGGGGTGTCCTCACCAGTGCTGAGTACAGGGGCACAATCACCTCCCTACTTCTGCTGGTCACACTATTTTTGATAGAAGCCAGAATGCCATTGGCTTTCTTGGCCACCTGGGCACACTGCCGGCTCATATTCAGCTGCTTGTCAATTAGAACCCCCAGGTCCCTTTCCTCCAGGCAGCTTTCCAGCCACACTTCCCCAAGCCTGTAGCGCTGCATGGGGTTATGTGGTCCAAGTGCAGAATATGCCTTTTGGATTGGAAATGCTGCGGTGTGTTAAGGCTTAAGACAAGAGGCTTCCCCACCCCCTCTTAATATTATTTTTTCCCTTCTGAAGTGTGTTAGTAAAAGTGCAGCACATGCCTAGTCAGCTGAGCTTCCTCAGCTGATACTAGTGTCTGTTGGACATCAAAAGAAGGGGAAGAGGAAAGGGAAGGGGAAAAAAAAGGGGAAAGGGAAAAGGAAAGGGAAAATAATAGTTAAGTGGAAGGGACCTACAATTACCATCTAGTCCAACTGCCTGACCACTTCAGTGCTGACCAAAAGTTAAAGCATGATATTAAGGGCATTGTCCAATTGCTTCTTAAACACTGACAGGCTTGGGGCAGCAAGGCAGACCCCAGTGGGTACACACTGTCCTGTGCATAGAAACATGCCTTTCTGCATCTGCAGCTGGCACCCGAGAGTTTTGCAGGCTTCGGAGCCATGGTAGCTGAAGGGCTACTGCCCCGAGGGGGAATGGTTTGCCTGTCATGCCTGCTGGACCTACAAGCCTTTCCCTGTGCTGCCCCGGGGCCCTCCCTGACCTTCTGTCATTGTAGCTCAACGGGCCGTGCCAGTGCCTCCCCAGGATGCCTGCACTGCTACTCTCCCACCCCCCGGCTCCCACTTCTGCCAGCACCATTCTGCCCTCCCCCTCCCATATCAGTTGCTTTGGGGACTGGTCTTCCACCTCTCCTGCTGGCGACAGAAAGGCATATCAGCAGTAGAGCTCGTCCCTTCCTCTACCAGTCCCAAGCAAAGCTGTCGGCATCCCTAAAGGTGGGTGCTGGATCCGTGACGGGGTATTGCTCTGCTTTGCCACATAGTGCCGCACGCAGCTCTTTCCTCCTCTTCAAATGCCGTCCCGAATCCGGGCTGAACAACGGATCGCTGCACTGATGCCCTTCAACCGGCAACTGCAAGAAGAGGACTTTCCCCTTTGCTGCCCTCCCCCTCCCCCAACCTCCTTCTAGGCTGCAAACGCCGCTGGATAGCGAGACAACTGTGCCGAGCAGCCAGCGATCCTTCTCCGGCCAGAATAAAATGCGAGGTGAAGGAGGAGGGAGGAGAAGTCTGTGTTCCTTCCCTATCTTCTTCCTTGCCTCTCCAACTCCTTCCAGGACCTAGGGGATGAGAAGACCCAGAACAGAGGACGCGGACCACACTCCCACTCTCTCCCTTTTCCAGGAAGCTGAGATTTCCCCTGGCACACACACACACTGACTCCAGAGGAGATGCAAGGAAGCAATTGCAAAATGCAACAGCGGGCTAACAACCTCCCGTCCTTCCACCACGGCAGAGCGCAAGGACAGCTGGCAGCTGCAGATAGCCGGGGATGGGGTGGGGGACATGCATGCACCCCTGCGAGGGGCTGGGGAGCGCTGGGGGCCTTCTCCACGGCGAGCATCGAGGTGCGAGGGCGGCGCAGGGAAGGGGCGGGGGAGCGGAGGCAGGGGGAGGGAGGGAGCCCAGCTCCCGCAACGAGGGGAGGAGGAAGGAGGGACCGTGTCGGTGGGATGGTCCGGAAATCCCGTGATAAAAAGAGGGGCGCGGGGGAAAAGTAGGGAGAAGGTCTGGACTGATTCTCTCTCCCCACCCCGCGCCTTCCCCGGCAGCCCTCAGGCACATGGGCGCCGGCCGGAGCCTCTAGGAGCAGAGCAGCGCGGAGGAGGGAAGCGGAGCTCGCTGCAGCGGCCACCTGCCGCCGGCCCGGCACAGCTCAGGTCAGCACAGCGCCCGCCGCACAGCGAGGGGTCTGCGCCGGGGCGGGCCGTGCCGTGCGGCGCCGGCCGGCGTGCGGAAGGGCAGCGGGAAGAGGAGGGGTGTGGGATCGCAGGGGTAGGAAAAGCCCTGGTTCTCCCGGGTGTTGGCGGGCCGCGTAGCCCCACGGCACGGCCGTGACCTGCTACGGGGCGAGGGGTTGCAGCCTGCCTCGGAGCCGAGCCCGCCTCTCCCCGCGGCCAGGACCAGCAGAGGGAGGCGGCAGCCTGCGCGGCGGGGCTGCTGCGCTGCACCCGGGGCCGGCCGGTCTCAACCTTGAGCCGTCCCGGCTCTTCCTGAGCAGGTGCAGTCCTCCCTGGCATTGCGCTGGAGTCGTTCTGGGTGAGGTTGCTGGGAGGGTAGGGTGGCGAAGCCTGCCCCGCATCCACGCTCCCCATCCCGCCGCGCGGGCTGCATCCGCACCCAAGTCGCCCAGCTTCCCCCGCTTGCCCTACCAGGCACTTGCGGAGTGCTTCACCTTCAAATGCCCCCTCCGCTGTTCCCGGCGGAGCCGCCTCTCCAGAGCTAGCCTTCCGAAAAACGAGAGGGCTGAGAAGCAGGCGGGGAAACGAGAAAGTTCAAAGGTTTAACACTTTCCTGCCTGTCTTCTGGAGACAAGCCGGGAGGAGCACTGCAGTGCTCCTCCAGGCTCCCTCCCGGCCACCTGCCCTGCTTGGGGGAATCACCGTGTTCCCTTACCTTCTCTTCCTCATGGCCACTCCCTGCCTACCAGCACGCAGCTCTGCTCTCCAGGTCCCTTGTCCTGTCTGCAGGGTTGAGGGTCTGGAAACTTGCTTACACTTAGACAATGGGACGAAAGCTAAGAAAGGTCAAGCATCAGGCTTTTCTGCTCCTACAGACACCATTCCTCTTTTGATTGTGCCTCTTTGCAGGCTGTGCTCCAAGGATTCCTGGTCTCTGTGCATGTGAGGTGTGAAGGTGGGCAGCACCCCTAAGCCATCACCATGGATTTCGTTATGAAACAAGCACTAGGAGGTAAGTGAGGCTGGCAAATAAGGGGTCTTGCATCCCTCCCCCCCTACCCTTTGCACTGTGCTAGAAAGAGGATGGACTGCTATGAGGCTCTGATAGGGTCTGCAGCTGGAAGAGCTGTTTGTGGACCCGGAAGAGCATGCCTGTCACTGATTCATGATCCCAGAACCAAGCGTTGCAACAATCTGAGCAGGAGAGGGCAGCAACAAGCAAAGACCAAAACGCCGTGTCAGGGGAAAGACCTCCCACACAAGGTGTGCGGGACCTGGGTCACGCTTAATTTGGCACCCTACTAGCTGGCTGCATATCCCACTGTATAGTGCGCAGGTCTTGCTTTTCTTCATGCTATGCTACTGAGGCAGGTATTGCAAGAGCTGCAGACAGGTTTAGGCAGAGTAAACCCAAAGAAAGAGTAACATTTTGTGTATGTGTAAGCCCCCTTTTCATCCTCCTCCCAGATGTTGACTGGACCTTGGCCAAAAAACAGCCAGTGCGGAAAATTTTGTACTTGGTATTTGGAGAATTATTTTTAATAAGAATACTGCTGCAATAAGCAGTGAAAGGATAGTAAGTTGTCGGCCCCCAACCGGGACTTGAGACCAACTTTTTATATAGAATCATAGAATCATAGAATTATCATCATAAATGGCTTCAATATATTTCCTGATGAATTGTTTTAACCTAATGGTGGGAAATAGAAAAGGTAGTGGGGGTGGTAGTGGTGGGGGTGGGTGTAGAAACTGAAAACAATGCAGAAGCATTTGGGAATGAGATTCCCTTGTTCTGCCGTGGTTATGCTGCCTTTCTGCGCTGCGTGGCCTGAACACTCAGTCAAAAAAAGGCTGTCACATGCTGAATGCTGGCTGCTGTTGGGAACTGGAACAGTCGGCCTCAGAGGAAGTCAATGAGGTGGCTCTGATCATTCTCTTCTGTGCTGTATCTCATACGTACATTTTCCATTCATTTTCCTGTGGAGAAACCATAGAGTCATGGGACTGTGGGAACATTTCATGCATAGTGTTATTGATATCATATGCAGCTTCAACATTTACTGCAAGACTATGTTCCATGACATGGAATCATGATTTTCATCTTTGAAAGCAAAGGAAGTGGCTTATCTTTTTTCTACCAAGGGAGCAAAATTTTCACAGTTAAGAATACAGCAAGCTACCTAAGTTTTAGAGGAGGTGTTTTGAATGGGAAGATCAAACCAGAAAGGAAAGGGTGTAATTTGATTGCACAAAACATCAAGATATGAAGATATCTACCTGAGAAGATAAAGGTTTGTATGGTAGCAGTGTTACATGTCATTACTCCTCAGTGCCTGTTTTAAAGGAGAAATAGTTTTGACAAGAGGATTTTGCACTGTTCGCTATGATGTGAATAAGGTTGCTTGCACAGAAAGCAAAAAGCATGCCTGCAAACTGGAGGTATAGCCACTGAAGCTGGAGATATGTGAATTCATAGTGAATCTCCACTAAAGAGAAATAACTGCTTAGAGACTGCAGTTAAATGCAGAGGGAGGAAGGTTGCAGCAAAGGAGTAACAGCTGAGATGCATGTCTTTCCTTGATGCTTAGTGACTAACCTGAGTTGGAAGGAGTGTCTGCCCTCGCTTAACAGCACTTACTATGGGCAGACACTCATTCTAACATAGTGTTGCATGCCAGTGTCAGGATTTGCATTATAATAGGAGTTGCTGAGAAGGCAAATTCAAAAGGCATCTTCTGGTGAAGCCTGAGTTTCTGATGTCTGTCAAAATGCTGCCCAAGGCACCATTGCTTCTGCCAGGTGACTTAATGTATTAACAAAATGCGTCTGGAACTTACCCACTTAATAAAGAAGTCTCTGCAGACTGGTAAAATCCAGGAAATGTTAATTCATTAAGTAGGAACAGATTTTTAAATTGGGAATAGTTTCAAAGAGGAAAAACAAAATCTCCTAGGGCAAATATAACATGGAAAATAAAGGTGGGTTTGGACGCTTTTTTCCCCACTGGTTTTAAAGCCCAAGCTAATGCTAGCATACAATCTGGCCACACTGACACAGCAAGCCAAGGACTAAAGGTTACAGTTTGTTTCTTTAATTATGGGGCCCAAAGGTTTATTTTTTTTTTTTTGCCTGCCCGTTCTGATGTCTACAGGGAGATGCCCAAACTGACCAAGGCACCAGACCTCTGGTGGGTGACAGGCTTGCTTTGGTTAGGATACACACATGGTCTGATATGCTAGTGGGCGTTTTTACCAACCCCACTTTCAGGGAGATTATCTTCTGAATTTCAAGGCTCTTTGATTTCAGTTTAATATAACCTTTCCCAGAACACATTCATTTTGCTGCCTCCCTGGGACTTTTTGAATGGTGCTAAAGTTCTTATCCCATCTTCAAAATCTCTTCTGGCACTCCTGGAAGAAAGAAAAAAAAAATTTCAATTTTTTTCAGTAAGGTCCCCTCCAATTTACAGAGAATCACACTTGCTATAAATATTGCTTGAAGACCACCTACAGCTATGACAGCTTAACCCTTTCACTGTCTCAGCTGGTGAGACCTCACAAAAGCCCCATGCCAGTTGAGTTTACTTGTCTGAGCATTATGGGCATGGCATTTTCTCTCCCCACTGAAATGGGGCTTAGGCCAGAACTTATGGTAGCTAAGAGCCTGGATTTGAGAACTAATTGTGAGTGACATGCTTTTGCCCTTCTCCTGCTGGCTAGGGCTGTGCAGGGCTCTGAAGCATATAAAGACTTTGGGACCAGGTTTTGCCATACTGGAGTGATCAGAGGAGGTACTGGAAGGAAAACAGCACTGTTCTCCCACTTCCTCACTCACCTTCTTGAGGAAGAGGAGGTCTCACACTCTGCTTAATTAAAAATAAAGAAAAACATTAGCAGAACACTCTTGTGGGAGTTTTCCCACTGCCTTTGAAGCAATCCGTGAACACACTTCTTTTGTCTCCAGTGGACAGGACAGTCAGATTTGTTTTTCCTTGGAGTTTTTCCAGTCAGAGGGGAAGAAGGCAGCAATGTATTTTGAAAAGTAGGTGAGCTAAGTTAGCAAGCAAGAAAAGACAGATATGTTGTATAGAGTTGCTTTGTTTGGAAATCTGTGACTATGGGATTTAGGTTTTGTGAAATAAATTTGGCAGGTTATTGTATTGCTGAAGTAGAATGTGTTCTTTCCCTTGTTTCGTTGTTGTTAAAGGGGTTTTCCAAAAGCCTGCTGTTTCTGTGCAGTGGAATGCCTTCCTCTGCGTGCTGCCAGCACTGTAATTTTGCTGCTGGTGTTGGCAGCACAGCATTAGCCTGGGAGCTGACAAACTTGAAATGTGTCTTTGCAAATCCCTGGCCCCTTCAAGGTAAAATCCTTGACCCTTTCATTAGCAATGGGGACTCTGGTCCAGGAAAAACAGTACAAAACATTAGCTTATTTGGACAATTTGCTTTTTTTTTTTGGTTCAGACCTTTCACACTCAGTGTGAAAGACACTCCATTTATTGTCTGGCAGTGACAGAAGCCATAGAGATGAAATGCAGTCATGATGCTGATTAGCTGTGTAGGACAACAAGAAGAAAATAGCAAGAGGAAATCTAGAGTCTCACAATTGCTGCTGCTTCTTCCACAGAAGTAACAGAGACAGTTACTCTGACCCTGCCACACCAGCAGACATTGACATAGATGTGTAGCCAAGGTGGTTGGTCACTTTGCTGTTCACTAAATGAACAGAGTGATTTTTGTGATTACATTTTACATAAGGAGTGCTCTTTGCCAAGCCAGGTCAGAGCTCTGGAGGACATGATCAAGGAGTATGACTTCCTGGGAAAAAGCTGGAAGTGAAGAGTCTGAAATGGTCCCTAAAGGAATTTAGCCATAGTGTTTTTAGCTGGGCATTGTTTATGTCTTCATAGGTTTGTGTGAAAGCAAAGGGTGCATTAACATCTGACTTCCATCTTATACTACACTGTCTCACTTCCTCTGTCACTGGTGGTTTGGACAAATAGGGAAACCAGACTGAAGTGGAAGACAATAAATTCCATGAAGCTCTGCTTGCTGTTATCCTGTTACTGAGAGATGTGAGGACCAAGAGTTTTAGGCATTTTCGTATGGAAAAAGAGAAAGGGGAAAGCCCATGGGAAGGTGAGGAGGATTTGTCTGAGTTGGGATCATGATGTGGCTGAAGAGAGGAAGATTTCTTACAGCTGGAACCAACATTGTGCAGACTAGAATGTTCTGAAGATACGGATATGCAGAACACACAATAGCTCTAACTCTGTATTATATGACGTTGTGCAGGGCCCTTTTAATGTGTTCCTATTATTGCCATGGATAGGAGAAATGTCTAGCTGGGATGCCTGCCTTAAATAGTGACTTTTGCTAATGTGAGCCTGTGGAAAAATCATATAACTCATTTCATATATAATTATGCATATGGACTGTACTGTATAAATTTCTTCTTCGTACTACCAGTACCCCTTAAATTCACTGTGCAATACAAACCCCATCAGGAGAAAGGGTATACTTGAGTTTCTGGATAGATATTCATTGGGCTATATTACAGACACAATTTTCTGTTTTATTTTCAGCAGCTTAGAGTGAGGACTGCTGCTTCTTTATATGTCAAGATTCACTGGAGACTTGTTTTGGTTCATATGGATTCTTAAAATACTGTAGGCAGAAGACAAATGCAACAAGATTGTCATATGGAATATGTCAGCAGGGGGTGGGACGGACTGCCTACTTCGTGTCCCTTACAGGCAGCTTTGGTTCAGTTAGGTATACCACAAAACACAGTCCAGAGGGATTCACCTTGTCCTTGAAGATGCTTAACAACATCCTAGCAGTGGCTTTTTGTGTGGCTTATGAAGTGTGTATTTTGCTGCTGCATTTGCCTCACTTTACTTGCTTGCGATGTGGAGATTAAGTCCTTGATTTTTCCTGGAGAAGCCAGTGAGATTGAGTGCAGTTGGAAGCAATACAGGCCTGTCCATGATGGAACAGACAGTGAAATAAA